TGGCTGGGAGGGAGCGGGACCCTCGCCTCGGGTTTCTGCCCCGAGCACACGTCGCCGGTGAGCGGGGCCTGGCTGTCCGGGGATGGTCGCGGGATTAGGTCTGGGCCGCGCAGGCGTGCCGCCTTGGTCGTCGTGGGTGTAAGTTATCTCCCTGCTCTCTCAGACGGGGTGGTGTTTGTGTCTCCTAAAGACGCCTGGATGCCCAGGCTTGCCGAAGTGTACCCTGCTGAGAACATTGCTGAGTAACTCTGATCTCTTCTAATCCAGGAGCCTGCCTGAAATGAAGATCCACTGAAAGCACAATAAGTCAATATGTTGTGTTCTGCCACTTGTGTTTCTGTCTTCAGAGGCAGTGATCTTAGCCTTAAAGTATGCTAGCAGTTGAGCTAATGTTTAATTTTAGTGAGCGTCGAGCCTTTGTTCCTTGGTAACCTTTGTACTGAACATAAGAAAACTGACACTGCAGAACACTGTTATATTCAGAGGAGGGTGGCTAAGTATGTTGGGAACTAGAGGTTAGCGTGTTTTCAGTTAGTCTAACAGTGGCTAAAGCAGCCCCGAATGAAAGCTTCTGATTACGAAAGACTTGGGGGTTTTAACTGAAGTCTGAGTGGAAAGGAGTTGTGAATGTCGGATGCTGCTGCACTTAACTGATGTTTCAACACTCTTGGAAGACTTTGCTTGTACTTGTCACTGGGTCCATAGGAACATATTTTGCTCTCATGTGATAGTCCTTTGTCACTTCAGGAAGATGCCACTCTTCTTCAGAATAAGTCAAGTAACTTTGCTCCCCAGTTCACTGTTGGAACATTCTTAGAATTAAGTTGTCATTATGCAACCTGATTTCTGAAATAACTTCCCTATCTTATGTATGAGGATGCAGGTTCATAGTATCTCTTGGAATAAAGCCCAACTAGATAAACTGAGTAATAGAGGCCTGTTGCTTCCAGTGCTTATTTAGTGGTAGCACAGCTCCTCGAGTCAGCTCATTCATGAAGTTCAAAACATACGGACTACGTCCTTCCTGTGAAAGGGCTGTTTACAGGGGAGTAACTTGCTCAAGCACTAGAACACCGGGATAGTTGTTAATCAGAACACCATCCTGTTTTGATATCGGACATAATTTGACTTCCTTATTCTATGTATAATGCAGAAGCAGACACAGTGGACACCTCCTCTCTTACTTTCAGAAGCCTCAGACAAGCATTATGCCTTATATGGTCTTCACATTCCAAACAGACTCTGGAACATTAAAGTAGCCATTTGAGGACTAATTTCTTTAGGGAAACTCTGACATTGGCCTTTCTCACAGGGTGGTAGAACCAACTAGATCCATACCTTCTCTACATGCATGCAATGTGGCTATTGCAGAGTGATTCCTTGTCAAAAAGTCAACTTGTTAAAGACTTCTAGATTGGCTTGATATGTAAAAGTATTTCTTAAGCTGCTTTTCAAGAGTTTTTTCTCAAGTCACGTAAGTACACTTGTCACGGAATGCAGAACTGTTATTGGAGAACTTTCTCTAGAAAGAGGGTCATAAAATAATGAATATGATAATATGATCTAAGGATCTCGGAAGTCTAGGTGTGATCTGTATGTCATCTTGCTTTCTTGTATGCACTGGGATTGCATTTATGCTCTGGCCTGTTAAATAGGCATAGCAGATTGTGCTTGTGGACTTTCGGTGGTCCTATTTTTTAACAGAATATCCATTTGTTGACTGTTGGAGCCTGTACTCACTCCCTCCTTGTTAAAAAGTGTGGACTGCAGCAGTGCAAAATGTACTGGTTCAGGCGTGGTGACAAATGAACTTCTGTTGCCATTTGTGTTTGAGATTTCTTATAATCTGATCAGTATCCTAACAAATATCAGACAGCTCTGGTGCATCTTAGTTTATTAAACTGTTTTGTAATTAAGTTAAATAGGTGAATGCAAATTTCTTCTTGAAATAATACAAATTCTTATGTAAATCCTTAAGCATCGTGATCAGGGATTTGTGGATTTACTTTTTTTAACCGTAACCTTTTTGAACTCCTTATTTACAGGTCTGTTGGATAAGTTTTCTTTCTAAATACTGGGCCAAAAGTCATAACTTTTTAGTTTATCTTGAGGCTTCAGAGACCATAACGTAGCACTGAGAAAGGTATAATAAAGGGATAGTATCTGTTTAACTTGTATTTGCTGTCTTGTAGTGATACGGCATTATTATGAAGCTCATGGCAGAAAAACCTATTTTTCTGTTTACAAGAGAATATTACATCTATTGGGAAGTTACAGAAGCTCTTACAGCACAGCATTGTTGGAGATAGAGGAAGGTGTGGTCTAGTAACTAGCCTGTTGATTGAAAATGAGGCAACTCTAATGGGTTTTAGTATGACAGCAGGTTAGAACTAAAACACAGGAGAGAAGCACTCTTCCTGACCTGCCTACCTTTATTTTGCACACAGGCATGAGAATGAGTTATGGCTAGGAAAACTATTTCTTCCTCAGTTTCTTGCATAACTATCTAAACAAAAACTTTGGAGAAGATTCTTCTTTCTCATCCTCTTATGGATGAGAGTAAGTGAAGGGGAAGCATGATCTATGCCCAGAGAAAAAGAATGGGAAACTAGCCCTTGAGTGGTGAAGTTACTTAACCTTATGCCAGAATATATTAAACTTGGTTATGTTCTTCTGTTGCTTTAACTATAGCTACTAGTTCACTCAAAGTAACAATGAAGAAGTAGAGTACTTATTGTTTAAAAGAGGTGCTAAAAGTAGCTCATAAAAAATACTTTTATGTATGGTCATATTGAAGTTTATTTCTCCTGCATAAGGATATTGTCCAAAACATAGCTGGATAGGAAGACCTCAGGAGGAACTAATCCATGCATTAGGAAATGGTTGGACTTGTGTTAGAAGAGCTACCTCTGCAAAGTCCTGCCTCTGACTGTTCTGATAGCCGCTGTCTTTTGCATTGAGAGTAAGACTTCAGAGAGGCTAGTGAACAAGGCTAAGCGAACTTCCTTTTATGCCAAGCAGTACTGAGTTTGGTATTAGTGCAAGTAGTTGCCTTCAGAGTAGTTGATCATCATTGTGATAAGCCTCTGAAGCCCTATGTTGATTTGTAGGACTGAAGTGACAAAACTGTTGTATTTATCTTCAGGCTACCTAGCCCTTTCTTTTGTAAGCTGTAGTACATGTGGAGGGCACTGATTCTAGCTGCCTGTTTCTGGCAAGCTTGGCTATTGTTTCTCTCCTGTGAATGCGAGGTAGCTGATACGGCTTATCCTCTCTGAACCCTTCTAGACTCTAAAAACTGTCTGGGTTGCTGTGTTCTGCTGGGTTCATTATTACCCCATTGTCAGCATGCGTTACACAACTGTAAATGTTTGGACATGTTCTTTGCAACAGTACCCTTAGAAATAAAACTTTATCTTAAGTTCAGAAGCAAAGACCAAGGAATGTGGATCATTACTAAATAGAATAGTTCTAAATGTGGAATGTTAACTTCAGGAGTTTCAAGATGTGATTAGAATTGGATGGACTCTGGAGCCAGTAGAGAGCTCTCATTGTTCATGGCCAATGAAAGCATGATGATAGCCGTAACAGTAGGCTTTTTTGTGGGAAGTCAGGTACGAAATGACATGTTTCTGTGGACAAAGATATATGATACACAACTAGCACTGATTACTGATATGAAGGCTGGCAAGCAGGTAGTTTTTCTAGACTTCATTCTGAATTGTACAAACACTGAGACTGGAGAGCTGAAATCAGAGAATGTTTGACTATTGGTCTGGTTCCCGTTAGCATACTTGCATTGGCATATGACAGTGTGCTGGTACAGTGCCATTTCCTTTTCTGCTTGCAGTATGCTTGGTCAGCATGCTGACTCTGCATCTTAATCACAAGTTCTAGGGAGCTCAAAACAGATGGGAAGTTTGTTTTAATACTTTTAATGCATCTGTCCTGGGTGCCCTCTGGAAACACTTAGCTCTGTGCCAGTTAGTGGCTGTTTTTTATGCAGAAGAAAAGTGGCCCTAAGACAAACACATCTGTTTATCTCAGCTGCAGCCCTCAGCAATGATGTTGTTGCTTTTATCTCAGCAGACTACCAGCCTGAGTACTGAAGACCTTAATGAATGTTTTTTCGGTGTAACAAGAAAACTTAATCATGTTATCACAGTTCTTGGAAGAATCTTCAAGACTTATTAGCCCTCTCACCTAGCTGGTGAGTCAGTGCTTCCCAAGGCGTCTCTCTCAGGAAAGAACTGCCTTCCTTCCGGAGATGAGGACTACGTATATTTAAAGGCTAGCCTCTCCTGGGTGTTGTAGCGATAAACTTGTGTCTCCAGCTTGATTGTCTGAGCGTGTGAATTGCTCCCTGCTCTTCCAAGGCAGGCAGAGTGGGCAGCTGGCTTATTCAAGCTGCTAATGTCAGTATGAGTTAGAGACCCTGGCTTAGCTTTAATTCCATCCCTGTCAAAACAAGGTGAATGGCTGCAGCATGCATATGTAGCACAGATGGGCTTAAACTGAAGGAGAGTGAAGTGTAAGCATGTTTTCTTTGTGGGCTTTAGTCTTCATAAACCTATTTAGTGGAAGTGTTAATTGTAGCTGTAACTGCCCAAGTCAGTGTATGTGCAGTGATCTCTACAAATCTGCTTTGAGAGGGCTTCTAGATGGAGGCTAAGTGATGCGCAGGGTGGCTGCTGTGAAGCAGACAGATGCCGTTAGCTTTATGTGCCTCTCAAACCAGTTCTTTTTGGCTCCTGTACCTTGCAGAGGAGTAGCAATCAAAGTAGCTTCCATCTTTCAGATATAGGAGTCTAGTTCTCATAACTGAAAAGCTAGTTTTTGTTAACTTGAGTCTTCCTGTACTGAAGCTAGTAACTGTTCTTGGAGGCTAGTATCATCCAACTTAACTACCATGTTTGAACTGGTGACTTTACAGTCCTCTACCTAATACAGTTAATGATTGCTATTCGGGGCTCAGGGATAAGGTCTTAATAATACTTGCCTAGTTCCCTAATAAAGGAGTATGAAGAGCTTCCTGTGTGCCATTAACACTAGCGTGAAACTGGGGCATACATAGCCACAAAGAAATAGAGGATACAGCAGCAGAGTGCTCTAGTTCTAGGTGAATTACCTATCTTATTTAAGAAAGTGGTGCAAAATAGCTTGATTTTCTGCTTACTGTTGGGTGTCTTTGGTACAGTCTCTTCTGTTGAAGAGTGTATTAACATGGCAGAAACACTTCTGTGTGATAAGTTTATCCATGGTAGCATTATGGGTGAGACAAGTGGTTAATATGACTTGTTTATATCACACAGGCAGGTGTTACATAGCAGCACTGTTCCAGAGAGATGACTGGCTGAGATTTAGCAGTTCTTGAAAATCTTGGTGTGTGATAGCGTGCAAGCTATCAAACATGTTATCACAGAAGGTAGCAGAAAGGTGACTTTGCCAGGAATGTGAGCTATATCTTTTGAGCTGATTAGGAATTAGGACTAAATAACCAAACTAGGATAAGAATTCTAAGTGTTGGCTGCAGGATTGTTAATCTTCCAGGTAGAGACTAGAACAGTGGGAGTCACGCTTCTTAACCTCTGAACAGTTGTCTAGTAGTCAGCTTCTAAGACAGGGAGGAGAAAGTGGGAACAACTTTACAACGCTGTCTGTAGCAGCTTCTCAGCAGTATCAGCTCTGCTGTTTATGTAGTCTGAAGCATGAGCTCATGATGAAGAAATAGTCTTTTATTACTGGTTCTGCAGAATAATGGCTCACTTGGTTTCTTGTGCCTATCTGGAAAAGTGCAGAGATAAGAAAGTGACCCTGCAGGGTGTCATGTAACATTCATTTGCATAACTAATCATAACATTAGATACTCTAGTAAAGCTTTCCATACAACTTACTGAAATCAGTAAATCTGGCTGTTCTGTCTTTTCTCAAATGGCTAAACTATAGTCACTTCTTTACAGGTGCTGTTGATGGAGTGGTTAATGGAGATGTCTATCAGGTAAGATAGAAGTATTCTGTACTTAGAATGTGCTGTTCTACTCTGAGAACTTTACCTTAATCTAGACTAATAACTTCCCACTTCTTGTCTGTAATGTACTTCTATCTAATCTCTGAAGAGGAACTTCTATTCTGATAGCTCATCTCATAAAATCGTTAATGCTCTTAATATGCCCCTCCTCTGAACTTAGAGGCAACCTAAAGCAGCAGTCCATTTTGAATTATGGCTTAATGGGACATAACCACTGTAAGCAGACTGACAGGATCTGTGGTATGACTTAATGTTGACTTGCCACTGGCTAATAAGCTGAAAGCATGCTCTGACTACCTAGTTTAAAGCAGAGTTGTCTGAATTGCTTGTTCTTTAAAGATAATTCATGTGTCCTGGTTTTCTTACCAAGATTGGTCTTACAAGGAGCTGACTGAAAACATTATACACTTAGTGACATAAAGTTGCATGAAATCAAGCTGCTGGCTAAATAGTTCAATCATAGTATGAAAGCATGTTAGTCAGCCATCCTAATGACAAAAGGAGAAGATTCTTGGTTTTTTTAGTGTCAGGGAGGAATGAGGCATGCTAAGGCAATCACTGTGTTGTAACTGAATTTCACACCAGTTTGGCTAAGGCATTGTCATTGCCTGGTATCAGAGTTGGCTGGATATCCCTGATTACATGAATGCTTGGGAAGCGGGCAGCTTCTTGAGCTACTTCTCCATAGAGCTTTAAGTGAATACTGAGCTTTGTGGAGGCACAAACAGCTTTCCCTGCTGCTAACATTTTTATATCCTCACTATTGCTGTGAGATTGGTGGGAAAACTGTATCTTACTGGCCCTTTGTGCTTCCTTATACAACAGAAGGCAGATGAAATACCTTGATTTTGTGTTTGCAATTCTAAGCGACCAGCTGCTTTGGTTGATAGAGCTTCCTCTTAATGAGGAAGAACAGACTGAGTGGGCTATATGTAACTTTTGTTTTGGCTACCTGCAACTGGCCAATTTTTTTTGTTTTGAATTGCATGTGAAGCCTGGTGCTGTTGCACCAGCCTAGCTCCTTCTCTTTGCATTATTCCTTCATTGAGGGCTACAGGAGGTCTAAAGAGGGGCAAGACGCAGCCAAGTCTGTCATTAGCTGCAATCCATCTGGTACTCATAGGAGTGGTATTTCTTAGGTCTGTTAAGAGTAGGGTGAACCAATAAAAGTTCTTGGACTTAAGAGCACCCTCTCATTAGCTTTGCCAATCTGGTGTATTAATGATAGCCCTATTCACTGCAAGTCTTTGAACTATTGTATAGTAAAAAGTATGCTGGTACTCACACTGTTCTGATGCTTAAATGTTGAAATGCCTCGTGTTCTAAGCTGCATACAGCAACCCAATGTCTGTATGTCTTTAAAGGACATTGGCTTTTAATATCAGTTAAGCTTGCAAATGTCTCTGAAGTAGACAAATAAGTTACAGAGAACATTTTAAAATTCTATGCACAAAACCATAAAAAAATTAAAAATTACTTTCACAGCAAATATTTAAGGTGAAAGGAGCTGTAGGATCTCTAGGCCTACAACTGTATAGTGAGGTGCTAGGCATTGTCTTCTGCTTTCTTCAGGTGTAGAGCTCTGGCACAGTTTGACTTCCCAGTCAACTTGAATTTGTGTTTAAACCCTGATTGCTGGAGGCAGTCCTGTGTTAATTTGCTTCAATCCTGCTGTAATTTGTGGCAAGACGTTTTACATGTTAATGGTGGAAATGCGGTATAACATCAGATGAATGTGTTGTGCTCGGTTCAAATAGAGTCTAATTTTATGTAACTTGCAGGCAGTTATCTGAAATATTCGGTTGTCATGTATAAATGACATTACTATTCCTTCCCTTCAAGGAGACTAATGGTCCAACAGACTCCTATGCTGCCATATCCCAAGTAGATCGACTGCAGTCGGAACCAGAGAGTATTCGTAAGTGGAGAGAGGAGCAAAAGGAGCGTCTGGAGCAACTTGGTAAGGAGGGTGTTTTTGTAGTAGTGTTCTTGCTTTTGTGTAACTTAGTAGCAGCTTCTTAAGGAGCAGAATTCTGAACCATGGCTTCTGGCTCCTGGGAATCTAACATGCTCCTTGAGTTGGAGCAGCAAGTCTGGATGAGTCTTCCAGTAAGCAGACTTAATACTCATGTAGGAGTCAGCAAGCAAGTGGCTCTCTGAACCTTAAGAGTATTTGTGTGGCCTGCCCTTTACTTACAAATAAAAGCTGTTCATTTTCTGTCAGTTTATCAGCAGAAAAGAGTGAATAAATACTGCAGCCATCAGCACTTTTTTCAAGGGATAAAGATTGCTCATTTTGTAATTGCTGAGGCCATCTGTTGTCACACGGATCTTAATCTAATAGCTAAGTTAAGTAATGGATTAGTAACTAAACTACATACAGCTATCAAATGCAGTGGTACCTACCTGTGGGCAGCTTCTAAGAGCCTACAAACTGGTATGTTTTCCACTTACATTAGGGAGGAGGCTTTGCTTGAAATTGTTAGGACAGAACCTTCTGTACAATGTGATTCTAGATAGAGCTGAGCCTGTTGCTCCTCTTCTAGGCTAGTTACAGCGGATGAGCTTGTCCCGAACTGTAGGCTGGGTGTAAAAGCATGCTGAGTGCCAGGCTCCCTCACTTTATCGAAGCACAGAGGCTTTACTGAGCTTTGTTCTAACACTAGCATAGCAAGGTGACTTTCTGTTTTTGAACAGTTTGCAGGCAAACAGACTTACTGAATCTGAATTAGTCTACAAATGCCTATCCTAAACTGAAGTGGACTGTCCCAATTATGCAGCACAGGCATTCTGTTCAGCTAATCCTCTGAATTTTCATGGTACTTAAGAGTTCTCATGGCCTAAATCAGGAAATCTCCTAACCCTTACCTGAGTAGATCAAGCAACTGTCTGCACTAAAGTGCACCCAGAGCCGTCAGCTGAAATGTTAGCAAGATCCAGCTGGAACAAACTGACTGACAAATCAATTCTTAAATATTCAGATGCGAACTCACGAAAACAGGAAGCAGAATGGAAAGAGAAAGCAATAAAGGAGTTGGAAGAGTGGTATGCAAGGCAAGATGAAAAGCTCCAGAAAACAAAAGCGAGCAACAGGTAAGGTTTCTCCAGCCATCTGAAGAGTTATGGTACTGGATATGAAAGTAATGGGGGAGAGAGGTTAGAATACTTCTAGTATGTCCTAAGGCATTAGTCCTTCAGATCACTAAAGTAACCTCTCCTACTAAGAAATGGGTCTCCAGTGGTAGACTATCTTTTTAAGTTTTCTTAGAATCTAGATTAAATGTCCAAGAATAGCAAGAGGAAAGCATTAGGGTAACGAACCAGAATTACTGAAGATTCCTTAAGACACAAAGTTTGAACATGGCCAGAAAGAGTTTTACTCTACCCACTTGTTTGCATGCTACTAGCTGCACAGGTCTTCAGTGACTGTAATTACCTACCTTGAGACTGACAATCTTACCTGCTAGCGTTAGAACACATGCAAGTGGCCTTCTAGTTAGTCTTTGCTACAAGTTATTTCATTAGATACCTTAAAACCTCTGGCTGCTCCTTTTGGAAGCACTTTAGAAATAACCTGACTCAGTTCTGCTAGTGAAGAACTAAATGCTGACACTGTATGTTGGGTTTGAATTGTCTAATTGTGGGCCCTGGAGCAGAAACTAATGACTTGGCTGCTGGTCTAGTAAGCTCTTACACTTTCTTAGAGGTTCCCTGTGGAATTTTGACTTCAAACTATGTAAAAGGTAAATATGATAGTACTGACAATATCAGTTAGATCTCTACTTCTGACCTAGGGTTGCCAGTGTCATTCTGTCCAGTTAATCATCAGAGCTTCTGTATACTTTGGGAACACACAAACTTCAAGATGAAACGTTTTTTTTGAAACACCATTTTTCTTATCAAAATGGGCAGCAGGTTTGTCTTGAGTAGAGTCCTAGGTAGACTCTACTTCTTACTAAAGGAAGAAAGGAGGCCTTCACTTCCTACAAAATTACGGATTTGACACTTCCATTCACTGAGCTACAGTCTTTTGGTTGGGCCAAGAAAGGGAAACAGGGTTGGCTAGAAGAGTCTAGTTGGTGTCCAGAGCTCATGATACCCCCATAGGTTTATTGTGGCCAGTGTTTGAGTGCAGGATATGCATTCTAGAGCAGGGTCCATTTAACAAGTGTTGTGCAGAAGGAGTGTTTGGCATTCTCATCAGCCTGGTGAGGTCTCTCTCCTAATGATAGTTTCTGTCCACTGGAAGTAGCCTAATGCTAACACTGGGACTCTAGTCCTAAACTAGCTGGTTGCAACTTCTAGGATGCAGCAGAGCTTTTGTGTTACCCCTCTGAATCAATGGCTTAATTGATACATTCCATGTGGTAGCTGCTTTCCTGTTACAGTAAGTCTAGGTGGTACAAGGTTAATGTGCTTGTTAAAACTGCCTTCAGCTGTGTTCTGTACTTCTCATCCTTATCTCTTTTCTCCTGCCTGCTTGCCTGCCTGTTGGACTACTTGCTACCTAGGGTGGCAGATGAAGCTTTCTACAAACAACCCTTCGCTGACGTGATTGGTTATGTGTATGTTGCTTAACTACTAATTCTGTTTGCTAGTCAACTAGGTAATGAGGAAGATTAGAAATAGTGCTGAATGTCTGAAGGTGACTTCTGAATATTTTAGGGCAGTATAAGCTAATATAAGTAAATAGCCTTTACTTTTTGGACTGACTCTGATCTGCAGTATTAAGTGCAGTTTTCCTGTAAGGATCCCTGCACAACAGGGATCTGCACAACATCCAGCACTTTCAGATTGAGTCATGCAGTATACATACCACTGGAATTTTGGTAATGACTTCAGTAGTGTAGGAGTTTACAGTTGTTTCTGGGCCCGTGAACACTGCTTAGCAAGATGCTTTGCTGGGTATATGGGTTAGTGTCTGCAGTCTCACATGGGTGCTGTATTTAGTCCTAGTCACTTCCACAGAGAAGCACAATGTTTAACTCTGTATTCTCTGTAACAGGCGTTGAGCTCCTGATCTGTGCTCATTTGCCTACATAATCAGAAAAAGATTCAAGCAATGCTTGCACATAAAGTTCTGCAAGCCAAGGAAGGTAGAAAGTAATCACCTGCCATAAATCAGGGTAGAAGAGGTGCATGCATATAGAATTAGGATGCTATTACAGAACAGATGAAAAGTACAAGGAGGTGGTATTGGAAAATCAGCATTAGCTGCTGGGAGGACACTTAGGAGCAGCTCTGTGTAGACATTTTGCCAACCTAATGGATCAATGAGAATATAGCCATGACTTTCAAGCCCCAGTGAGTATGCTAGTTTCCGTGGGGTGGAAGGATTGCAATGTTCATTGGCTTGTTCATGTGTTTTAATTTCTTCCCTTAATTTGTAGACTTGAATTGAAAGATGGCCATGTCACAGATTCTAAGGTGACACCTTAGAAGGTGTATTGGTGAGCCATGGTGTGGCTTTGAGCGCATTAATATTGAAGGTCCAGTGTGGAATTCATTACCTAACTGTAGGTGGATGTAAACCAAGACTTGTGAAATGATGGATTTACAGGTGGTGTTTGACTTTTCTGAAGTGTCCTGGAGTTGATTTTGATAGATTTTTTTCCAGTAAAACCCTTGTTTTGATATATCCAATGCAAATGTGCAGTACAAGTGCTGCAGAATAAAATTGGCAGCCTGTTTCCTGAATGTAGACTAAGCTAGTAGTGCATGTTCAGCCAGCTGATCATCTGCATTAAACTCATTCTCATTTTCTATATCTGACTTAAACTTTTCTCCTTGTTTCTTTTCTTCTATTCACCTTTAAGCACAAACATAAATCATCCTTGCTACAGCCTAGAACAGTTAAGTAAAAAAATCTTCACTGCCCCTTAAAAGTGTCATGTCACATAAAGTAGCAGTGTTGTAGTGACCCTTGTCTTCAGTGGTGTCTGTAACCTTACCATCCCTGTGAACAGTGCTGAACCCTCATGGGAGAGTCATCTTCACTGCTTTTTCTGTACTGCTTGTTGGAGTAGATGGATTTGGTTTGATCTCTTGACGCTTACTGCTCTTGCACTCAGGCAGCTACCAGGGCCCCACAGTTCACATAAACTAGATGCTGGAGTGTTATCTATGCGTTGAAGCAATGCTGTTGACAGCATAGCAGTGCCAAAAGGATACAGCTGGGAAGCCACTGGCACTAACCTGTGCATAATGTAAAAAGCCTCCTTAAAGTGTCCTTAAGGTGAGAGCAGGAAAAATGTGTTTATCATGTGAGCTGACCTCAGATGAGTCATCCCCTCTGCCAAGATATGCTTTAGTCTATAGCACCGACAAGCATGGGATTCATGAATTAAATTCCTTTTGATTCATACTGCTTCACTACAGCATTGGGAATCATCAGCAGATAGTTTTATGATGGCCTGTAGGCCTTGGGGCCGATTTAAATCCTCAAATGGAATCTCTTTTAAGACATGCTTGCAGGGAGTTGTAAATTTCTAGTTGGCAAGTGTCCAGTATAAGCCATCAAGTGGCAGAGGCTTAAGTAGTTAAGACTTGGGCATTTCTCCATAAATAAAATGCCTACATAGGAGTACCTTACTTCCTGGTGTGTGGTGACTCCTTAGGCAAAGACTCAGTAACTATTCTTAAAACCAAACACCTGTATTCCAACATTTTACACAGCAATCCTCTGCACTGCTTGTGCATAGTGTACTACTGCAACCTACTTTCATCTCCAGGGTTGGGGTAGTGGGAGCTTAAGTAGCCATAATGTCCACAAGCAGCTGTCAGGTCACATTTCTTATGAAACATGCTGAAAGAAACTGCATCCTGTAAGAGGGAAGGAGTGCCTTATGTGTTGGGCATTAATACAAGGTGCATTGCATTGCTTTTAGGGCAGCTGAAGAAGCCTTTGTGAATGATGCAGAAGACATTTTTCCGGGCACTGAGTGGGAACGTGTGGCTCAGCTCTGTGACTTTAATCCCAAGTCTAGTAAGCAGGCAAAAGATGTGTCCCGCATGCGTTCAGTCCTCATCTCACTCAAGCAGGCTCCGCTGGTTCGCTGAAGGAAAGCACAATGGAAACACTACAAATGCAGTATCTTAACCTTACTCACAGAAGCTATGTTTGCAGTAATTGGATTAATTGTTTCAATGTTTTTTTGGACCAAACCTCATGATGTATCTAGAGCTGATCATTGTTTGATTGCATGTTCTTCCTCATGTTTCCTTTCTGTGTCTGAAATGGGAGAACCTCCAAAACTGTAGTCTCTGTGCTATTGTGCACCGAGATGTCACTTCCCACATTACTGATATTAAAGATCTGTTAAACAGCAAAACGTGTTGACTTTGGATGAATTCAGAAGCTCTCCTGATCCCTTTTGACTGGAGCAAAGGGGGTGTTTGAATTGAGTGTGAGCAAACATTTCTCTTAATTGCTAGTGATTTCACCTTGCTGGTGACTGACCAGCCAGCAATGCTCCTGGTCTGAGAGGCTATCCTGCTTGTCTCCATAAGCTTTCTTAAAGCTCTTGAGAGCTTTAGTTTAAAAACTGCTTTCATATCCAATTTTATCATGCATGATAGAAGCTCTAGGAAACTGGAGTAGCAGGCTTGTTCAGGAGCTTCTCTCAATTCTAGTGGAACTGAGGACACTGCCTTCTGCAGGTAACTCAGTCACTCCAGCTGCAAATCTTAGGCTAGAAATGCAGTACAGGGCACTGAGTAGAATATCAGAGGCTTTAACTACTGCATATTCTATTCTGCCTTGTATTCAACGCTGGCTTCATACACAAAGTCCTGTTATGCAGAGGCTGTTGGGGTGTTTTTGAACTGTGTCCTTGTCCTTACTGACTCTTGCAGACACTTTCTCCCACCAGGGTGGTGGACTGGAGATTTGGAGAGCAAGAGAAAGGAAGACTTGCTCTTACTGCTGCTCATCTACTTTGTTGGAGCTCTGTCTGCCAAGGTGGTTGAATTTGAAACAAACTGATCCAGAAAATCTCTGTTCTGCTGCTTCCTTGGCTCTCTGATCTCACCCAGCATTCACAGGGGCTGTATTCTAGCCTTGCTCTGGTAAGACTTACTGTAGCTGTCTATCTTGTAAGAATAGACTGTTCGGTCTCATACATTATTTCATTTTTATTAAAGATACAGTAGCTTAACTAGCATATGGCAGAATTGCATTAATACCTTTTGTGTACAAGCTGGAAGGTTAGTCTAGACAGTTTGAAGAGGGCTGCAGATGCAGATTAAAACTTACTAAGGTTCAGGGAGCTGCTGCACAGCAACTGTCTTACTAGCAGCTGTGTCCCTTTGGTGGATATTGAATAAACAGTTGCCAGCTGGGTGTCAGTACTTAAGCTGTACCTTACTGTTGTCTATAGTGACTGGAGGTATTCTCATGTTTGCAAGTGTATTCACAAGCTATTGATGAGCGGTGATGAAAATGATAGTAGACTACAGGTCTGGAAGCTTAATTCCACGGAAGACTAAAGCAGGAAAGGTATTTTCTGAACTGCACAGGGATACCACAGGTGAGTTTAATAGGACTGAAGCACAGAGCAAGTCCATGGAATACTGATACTCAATACTAGCTTTGACTGTGCATTCACCTTGACTGAAAACTTCCTTTCTTCTACTCACCGCAAAGCTCTACAAACAAAGGCTTCTAAAATGAATTGGTAATTGAATAAAGAAAACTCCACTGCATTAAATATACAATGTTTAAAATGTTAATTTGAATTTACTGGAACTTGAAAGATCAGCAGATTAGAGGGGTTCCTGCGCACTAAGTTATGGAACTGATTAATCACCACATTGTCCTATCTCATAGGACATTTTATCTGTGCTAAGGGCATGGGTTTGAGCTGCAATCCGAGAAAACAGGCAAAGGCTCTCAAATTCAAGCCCAAAGCAATGTTACAGAAGTTAAAACAGTGTTTTAACCAGCAGCCCCTGGGTTTGCAGGGACTAACAATGTGTCTACAGTTTTTTTGTGTGTACCACCTAGCTGGAACGCTAACAAGCAGCTCTGTGGGGTTTGGTTACCTCCTCTAGCCCTTGTGCAGTGATTTTGTAGATTCTCTCTTCTGCCTTAATTGTATATTCAAGTATGCTAGCTCACTGTCTCCCTCCTACCCCTTATATCATTGCTGTCACAGAATCAGACTGGCTGAGGTTGGAAGGGACCTCTGGAGGTCATCTGGTCCAACCCCCCTGCTCAAGCAGGGCCACCCAGAGCTGGGTGCCCAGGACCATGTCCAGACAGCTTTTGAAGATCTCCAAGGAGGGAGACTCCACCACCTCTCCGGGCAACCTGTGCCAGTGTCTCAGTCACCCTCACAGTAAAAAGGTGTTCCCTGGAGGAACCTCCCATGTTTCTGTGCCCACTGCCTCTGGTCCTGTCACTGGGCACCACTGAAAAGAGCATGGGTCTGTCATTTTTGCACCCACCCTCCAGATATTTGTATGCATTGGTGAGATCCCCCCCTGAGCCTTCTCTTCTCCAGGCTAAACAGTCCCAGCTTTCAGCCTTTCCTCACAGGAGAGATGCTTTAGTTGCTTAATCATGTTTGTGGCTCTTTGTTGGACTCTCTACAGTACATCCATGTCTTTTGTACTGGGGAGCCCAGAACTGGACCCAGCACTCCAGATGTGGCCTCCCCAGTGCTCTACTCAGACTTTCTGTGTCTGAGAATTATTTTAGATTCTTAGACCTTGTGAGCAAAAGAATACTCGGCTTTATTTGGGCAAATCCAAGCCCTTGTGTGTGCTTCTGAACACTGACTTGTTTCTTTCAGAGGTCAGCATCTGTCACTTTGTTTTGTGACTTCATGTGACAATTCTGTGCTACATCTGGCCCAGTTGAGTGTACTCATTCCTCTGTTTACTGGCCTTAACTTCCCACTGTTGCGGCTTATCTCCATACCACGTAGCTGATGCAGAGAACTGAGTCAGTCAGTAGAATCTGGAAAAAAAACCTGGACACTTCTATTGTTCAAACAAACCCTCAGGTGCATGTGCACAAAGATCTCATGCAGTGTTGAGAGAGAATGCTGAATACATCTGGGTGTAGAACTGCTTTGTTTAGCTTGTGAGCAGGTGGCAGCCAGCACCCAGCCAGTCTGAAATGATAATGAGCATTTGTGGAGAAGAAGGGGGATGGAGAGGTCAAGGGTTCATTAGAAAGCAGGGAGCCTGAAAATGACAGTGCTGCACCTTCATCCTCTTACCCTGAGGAACATGGGTAACAGTTTTAAGTATCCATAAATCAGTGTGCTATGGCTTGCCTGTTTCTTGCTGATGTTTTTTTCTGAGCAGCTGGTAAAAAGGGAAGTGTATAGTTTACTGGCTTGTATTTTAGAATGGACAAGGTGGGCGTCTGTTTTTGCCAAAAGAGGTTTCCTCCAGTAGTACCTGTCATGTGGGAAGCTTGTTCCTTTGCAGAATGGTGGTGCTGCAGCAGCACACTGTGGTACTGGGTGGTAGCGTGCCTGGGGCTACACACTACCTCAGATTCTCAGATCTTACAAGGTTACTGACAACCCAGGTCTTTGTGGTCTGACTTCATAGGGGATGGTCCATTGAAGTGTTTGGTATGTTCTAATCTGAGAAAGGAAGAGCTACTCAACACTTGTTCAACAGGGGAGTGCTTCATTAGATCTTGCACCTGCAATGCAACTTTCACTGACAATTATGTATGATTACAGTGTCGCAATGCCTTTGGTTGCAGTTGCAAGCACGCATTTAATCTCTTGCTTCATGTGGCTGTTCACTGGTCACAGCTAGTTACCATGTGCAGAAATTTTACACCGCTCAAAGCATGAGGTATGGATGAAGTAAAATCTTACTAGCTTTTTAAAAGTGCTGTATCCATACTTAACACAGGCTTGTGAAATTAAAATTAAAAATAAAGAAACCTTTGGAAAAAAATCAGGATATTTCTTCAAAGTTTTACCTTAAATACAGTCTTCATACACTTTGTTTAATTAAGCACAAATTTGGCACTTTACGCAGAAATTTTAAATGCAAATAAAGTGCTTCATGCAAAAAAAGCTGGAAAACCTAGTATTCAGAACACTTGCAGATACAGAGTTACAGCAATGGTGGTCTAATAGTACAAGCAAGGCAAAAATGGTGTGGAGATGTGTCACCGCTTTTTAGACTAATGGAAAAAAAAAATGAGCGCTTTCAAGAATGCAAAGCTTTCTTCAGCTAGCAGTAACAGCCTAACAGTAATTTGTGATTTGTTAAGGATATAACTGATACCTGTGTGAGGTCAGAAAGAGGGCTGTGAACCCAAAAGCTTCCCTCAATTATGACAGCAGCAGAAAGAACTGGCTGTATTACTTGTCTTCTCATTGCCTTGCTCAATCTGACAAAGCAGTCATCTTTCTTTGTCTGATTTTATACGAAACGGCAGTGTACAAGCAGTGGGTGGTTTGGGCACCATGTCGAAGTATATGGTTTGATCTTGTTTTGTGTGAACTTGCCAAATGAACTAACCCAGCAGTGCTACAACTGTATGTGCAAACTTAAGCAAGGCTTAAGAAAAATTTGGCTTTCTGTGTTTTCTTCAGAATTTCATGAGCATTTTTAGTTGTTACTAAAATACATTATGTGCCCACAGTGCAAAGCATCTGCTTTCAGATTATGAAGTAAACATAGCTTGGTGCCAGACTAAAACAACTGTACTTAAATACTATGGCTACACTTCAGCTGCCAAAGCACTAGTTCTGATGTGCCTTTGATAAACCATTTTCCAAACACAATTATCTGGAATGGTCCAAGGGGTGTACAGTCCAGGTGTTTCACCCTTACTAATGCCTGTAAGCTCTCCACAGCATTTGAAAGGGACACAGCGATCAGATTTCACTGATGCAGATTGAATCAGAGCATAAACTCTTGTCTACACCTTACTGTGTTTCTGTGATACAAATTCAACAGTGCCTCCTTTGGTAATAAGTCCTTCTGACAATTGTGATACACTTAAACAGAGGAAGGACAGTGCTTCAAGACCACCAGAAGGCTGAGGCACTTGTTAATTTTGAGTGTCTGGATGGCAGATCAAAGACTCAAAATACTGAATAACTAAACTTGCTGCTCAGGAGACCAAAAGAAATTCCAAACCTCCATTAGCTATGTGGCTTGCAAAGCATCAGCAATGATCTGTAAAAGGATAGCTAGCAAAACTCAACTGGCCTCCTCATGGTCCCAAGTTGTAGCTGGTTGTTTCTATGCTTAGGCAGAGCTGTCCTGGACAAAGCAGTCTTTTTGCACCAGGCGCAAGGATGAAGAGCAATGCGGTGTAGGTACTGATAGAAGCTTACATTGGTTA